GTATTGGACGTCAGTTCGGATCGTCATGCACCTGACAACGGACCTGGCCGACCACCCACCGGGCACACGAAGATGACTTGCAAGTCGGTTGTTTTTGAAAATTGGCCACAATCTTAAGCCCGAACCGATTGTGTAGAAACAATACAAGTTCGGTGGCGCTTTCACCGGAATGGCGCCTCGGTGCCGCCTGTATAATATAATATTACAGTTTCGGTGGTCTCTGCGCGACGACGCGACGGTTTCGTGGAAATAAAAATAGGGAAAAAACTGAAAATAATAATAATAATAATATGCGCCATCTCGACAAAAATACTTCATACCAAGTTCACTGACCGTAATGCTCAAAGCCATTCATATTCAAATGGCTTTGAACCCGAAGGTCCGGTTTTCGAATTTCACGGTGCCAAAGACATGTGACGGGGGTCGAAGATAAATTCGCGCCAAAATTCTTAACACCCCACACAATTGTTGTCCACTAATGCCGCTGCCGTTGACAGTATCTCCCTCCCCCCACGCGCACACGGCGTTTACCATTTACACTTTTATTAACTCTCGCTCTCTCTCTCTTTATACACACACACACGAGCTGTATATAGATATATTATACATAAATATATTGGATTCACACCCGCGCGTTTAATAGCTCCCTCGCCGAGCGTGTTTATGACTGTCGGTCGCGGTCATCATCATCATCATATTCGCCGTGGCTTCGCCCTCGTCCGGGACCAAACACATTATTATCGTTGTACTTGCCCGCAATAATATAACGATGGTCAGGCGATTTTTATGTTCTATACTATTTTTTACTCCATTCTCACGACACGCGGACATTGCATGACCATGCGTGTGGGAATTCGTCGGCGAACTTTATGTTTGTTCATTTCCGATCGAGTTGTTCCGTCGAATTCCCGAAGTTTCTCACACACACACACACGTGTTGCGCACATAACGGTACGGGACCAACACGTAGGTATAGAGGCATAGAATACAACAATAATATTATAACGCCCGTTTCCGAGTTAACGTGTACCTACCTGTGTAATATTATGCGAGTTCAGTGATTTCGCGGTGGTCCTAATGCGGTGCCCGTGGGACTCACACGAAGAAACAATAGGGCGGCCGAATAAGCGCACCCCCGTACACAGGACCACCGCCGCGCGCGAGCCTGAGTTTTTTTTTGCGTCATATACGGACCAGCGAGCATCGTCGTCGCCAATACCGCCACCGCGACTGTATATTATGGGGGGAATGTCTGGAGTAGTGGGATAATTTCGGGAATAGACGGGACTACTGCGGACTGAATATTTATATATTATTTACTAATCGATAAATCCAACTATACACGGAGTCTTCAGAATAGTTCATGGACCACTAAATGGATCATTTTTCATGATATAGGTACCGAAATTAGAAAAAAAATGACCTACGTACTGCCATATTGGTTTTCATCAAACAATAATAATTGAAAGTTTTTATTTATAAATATATATATTTGGGTGGTCGTTAATTTCGATTTTGTAGAGCAAAGTATAGAAATAGGTTTGAAATGTCGAAAAAAATGCCCTAATTTTTTCAGATTTTTCACTTAAGAATAACAGGTGCCGCACAGAGCCTCAAGATTTGTATTGAAATAACATTATTATTTATTTTCCAATAATTGTTTTATTACAACGACTAATTAACTGCAAAACAATTTTCAACTATGAAGAATTGTTGGGAATTGGTGCTGGGACAAATGAAAATGTAGATAAAAGATAATCCAATTAATTTCTAATTTATACAAGCCACCTATATAACATCTGAAAAATCTGAAAGAATTAGGGCATTTTTTTTTCGACATTTCAACCCTATTTCTATACTTCGCTTCTCAGAATCGAAATTAACGACCACCCTAATATATATACATTAGGGTGGTCCTAAAAAGTTTCTAAATACAATAAAAATAAAAAATATGAACTTTAACCCGTGCCCCACAAGGGTTGAAGTTTAAATTGGATTTAACATAGGATTTCGACCCCAATGCAAAACTTTTTTCCTACTCTTTAGTTTGGTTTGAAGTATTGATGTTTTTATAGCTTGGGGTTTGCTGAGCACGAAAACCATATCAATACCTGTCAAAATTGCTGGCGGAAAATGAAAATTACACAACAAATTAGGCTTTTTTGGGTATATTTTTTCTATTAGTATGAAAACCAAATAACAATACCAAAATTACAAACTCCTTCCCGTTAACTAGCAGATAAATTTGGATTATAACGCTAATTATGTATGCATAGCCAAAAAGTTATTTTTTTTAAGCAAGACACTAAATTTTTTTACGCCACTCGTGTGATACTGTTCGTCAAACAAATTCCAAAAAAGATTTAGCTGCTTTAAAACATTGAATATTGTGACACTCAGATCTTGATTTTTCTCATACAATAATTTATATCCATGCAAGGCAACATTGCCACTAAACAAAATCTAAATAATAAAATTTAACAGTTAACTGATTAAATTATTTTTAAGATTTTTTTATTTTGATTGTCTGTAGTAGTTCATATCGAATCCGGATTTTTTTAAACCAGTTAAACTGGTAAACTATTAAAATACGTCTGAATTAAAAGGAAAATAATGTATACTCTAATCATTCTCATTATAAAGTAAAAAAAAAAATCAAAATCCAGCTCGTTTTCAGAACATTTGCGGTTATTAAAATAGGATTACATTTGATGTTAAACGTTTTTTAAATATACACTTTTTACCCTTTATACCACAAATTGTGAATTTCTACTAAAAAAATGTCAACATCTTAAAGTACATAGAACACCGTTTAATTAGTCTATTGATGAACTTCATGCACGACCTCGAAAGTAATGGCCCTATTTAAAATGCAAGATAAATACTAATTTATACAGACTATTATATACAGACCTAAAGATCTTTGATCTCCCCAAATCCTATATGCTCCGTCACCACTATGACCCTACTGTGCTGGCTTTTTATGAATAAAAATGTAAAAAGAAATTGTAAAAAAATGCAAAAATGAACCTGTTGGTCATAGCATTTCCGATCTGGGTCAGAATTGTTATCTTTTCTATGATTGTTACTAAGGAAATCACAGTCCTAGTCAACAGCTATGTAGACCGATTGCCCTACGGCTCAGGTTGTTTATTTTGATTGATATTAATCTATTTAAAGAAATTAAATGAGTATATTTTGGACATTTCTGAAATCCAATAATTTGTACCCAAAAACGAAACATTGATATTTTCAAAATGTTTTACTCAAGAATGATATTTAATTTTATTATTAAATTTTAAAAATATTTAAATTGTTATATTTTTTACAAAATATTTATGTGATATTTTAGGTAAATTATGTTTAAAAATTAACTTTGGTGGATTTTTTTGGAAATATTTAAATAAAAATGTTGAATAATATCACCATTGAAACTTTTCTACACTATTTCAGTTAAAACAATTTAAAAATATTTATACTTGAATTTAGTAAGCATATTCTGGAAATATTAGAATAATAATTTTAAAAAATATTACCGCAACTACATTTTTATAATATTTTAATTTTATTTGTTTTAAAATATGTTTTTAACAGTGTAATGGTATTTTTTTTAAACTAGTTAGAAGACAAATGTTGGTTTAATGTTATTCGCTATTACCATTTTTTTTTTACTATGAGAGAAAGTGCGATTATGCATTACTATACATTTATGATATATTGATATGATACGCCGTGATGTGTTTTTTAACATAGAAATTAAATTGTTCGACACCATTAAAATTGTTCAGTCCATTTAATAACACGCTATGTTCCCGCTGCACCGGTATGTATTAAACCTATTGGTTAAAAATATTTTATATAATATTATTAATTATTTAAAACTTTATTTTTTTTAAGAAAAAACATTATCCAAAATAATACTTTAATATTAGTGATAAAAACACTAATAACTTGAGAGCGCTGAGCGAATGGTTATTAGAAAAATACTGCAATGTACTTCTGCTAGCCTCTTTGTGTGTAAAGCAACTGTTACAAGAAAATACTGAAACGCATTTCTCACGTCCTAGTTTGTATGAAAATCAATAATTATCTTATTTGTCATTCTTCGGTATCCAAACATAGTTTATAGACACCAAAGAGAAGTTTACTATAGTCAATATTCAATATTTTTGTTAAGTAATGAAAAATTAAAATTATAGGCGTGATAGAAATAATATGACTATAAATAATTAAATATGAGCAATGTGTTTTTACAGAATGTTTTTTTTATTTTTTATTATTAATAAATTTTAAAAGAGTACACGAAAAGTCATAATAAATTAAACAAAGCGATTGAATAAAGTTTTACTGTCGTCCATTTTAAGATCCAAAACTTTTTTTTTTTAAATAAAAAATTGCACTTACCTATTGAACTTATACGGCACTTTTTTTTACATCTCTATCGTTTTCGTTTAAAATATAGCACTTTTTTATACCTACTTGCCTTTCCATCTCAATTAGGTGAACTATCCAAAAATAATTGGATTCGAATTAAAGCAAAGCTTTTATTCATTATTTTTTCTCTGGTTATCGTTTTGTTAAGGCTGATCGGGTTTTTTTTTTATTTAGTTTTAATTTGTATACACATTTTACGCCTTATTAAATTCGTCCCCCTCTGTACGCGTGTTGTGACAATCGTGCGGGTTCCGGGAGTGAACATAATATAAACCTATAGTGCTGTGTGTAAAATATATATGTATATATTATATATATATAAAACACAGGGCACTGTCATGGCGTCGGAGGCGCGGCTCTCCTATGCCCCGGACCCACCTTCTTTTTGGTCGTCATCGTACTGTATAATAATATGATATATACATATATGTTATTTTTTAATATTATTATGTTACCTATTGTCTACTCTTTATAACAAAAAATAATATTCGTTACCTGTGTTTCAACGGTGACGGCATCGGAAGACATATAGGTACCTGACCTTAAACTATTGAGAAAAAGTCAGGTTCGTTTGGCTATTCGTTTATTTAAATACATTCACATATTATACATTAATTATAATTTTTACAAAAAAAAATGAAAAAGTTTTACATATTTTGACATAGGCGCAAATACGGGGGGGCTAGGGTGGGCTTAGCCCCCCCAAAAAAATTAGGTTATGCATACAATTTTGAAATACAAAAGTATATTTACTTATATATATATATATTTAAATAAAATTTCCAGCCCCCCCAAGTTAAAAATTGAATTGCACCTATGTATTTTGACAAAAAATCATTAAAAAAATACAATACGACAGTGATGGGGTCCTTATAATATTTAGTTGTATATGTATAATATATATACACTACAATTTACATTTTACTTATGTGTTTGGCCATCTAGGATGCGCGTCACAGCGCAAGAAAATCTAGAATACTATCAACGGAATATCAACAAATACTTGCAATATATCATTTAATAGGTACGTCTATTATATTTGTATAGGTGCGTGACATTACCAAACGCTAAACATTTAACAATTGTCAATTGTTCATAAATTAACGACGGTATTATAACATAAATATACGCTAATATACATATATCTACGTAAAATATAAATAGTAATTTACATATTATAGGTTATATTATTTTTATTTTACATACAATAGGTAGAACTAATTTTTAAACATAGTATCCATAAGAAAAATCCATATATCTACACTTAGATAATATTTAGTTAAGTCTTTTATACATCGTTTTGTCTTTTTACAGTTAAATGTTACATGTCTATTATTATTATTATGTAATCTGGTTTTAAACCCTATATACAAATTACAATACTATTAAATATACTTGACAATCAATTTGTAGGTACCATTTATACCATTTTACATACAGTGCAAAAAACACTAAAAAAAAAGACAGTTCTTTGTATTTGTATTGCTAATAAGTATAATAAATTAAAATATTTCGTTTCAAACAATCACTATATAAATAATACTTATCATTTTAAAAGGTCAAAGTGAAACTATCACAGGCATTTCAAATTAAATAAATTATACCATATTTTAGTAAAACACACGCAAATGACATTAACTTTGTCTAATAATATTATTATAAATAATATTATTATACATAATTGCGTATATATGTATATTATTTATATTACTTATGACGGCTGTTTTCCGCACCAATTAAAATGGTTTGAATCAGCGCAATAAATTAAGTAGCTAGGTCTATTATACAGGATTCAATTATCAAAATACGTGTTGTAATGAACCTTACACGCTTTAGAAATAAATTAAGTAATCTTATCAGAGGTAGTTTATTTTATAAGTAGTCAAAAACTCAAAACGGAAATGTATGGTGGGAATGGATGGTATTTGCACATGCAGTGGGGGGAAGGGGGGTCAATAACAAATAAACGGTAGCTATGTTTTTAATTCTTTTAAGTTGTTTCTATTGGCGTGTGCGTGTATGCAGCGTCGGTTAAAAATTGTATACACAAAAAAAATAAGATGTATGTTTACTTATATGGTAGATGACACGTGCAGAACGGTGTGTTGGCTCACCACGCACGACCTTGTAACGATAAATAGGACATGTTTTGTTGTTGATGATGATGTTGCCCGACGTTCTGTCTCGGGTACGGCATCGCGGCGTTGCCCAACAGCTGATGTTGCGATTGATGCTGTTGTTGGTGATGTCCAACGTTTGGCGAACCGTGGTGATGATGGTGACCGTGGTGGTGCGGGTGCACGGCGACGGGCACATGTCCGCCGTGGTGCATGACCGGACTGTGACCGTTGCAATTGTTGTTAACGCCCTGCGCGGCATGCTGGCTCGAAGAGTCCGACGTGCCAGAACACGGTTTTCCGTCCTTGACCAATACAGGCACGGCCACTCGGCGTGGCGAGCTCTGAGCCTGCGAATTACAATCTCGGTATAAGTCACAGCGCAGTAAGTAATACTTTAGAGTGAGTTTGTTGACAAAACAACAGCTATTGATAATATAATTAGTAGTTGATGGTATGTATTCGAATTGACGATGTATAATTATAATGGACGTAGCCCCTTCGGCTCCCGTTTTACAAAAAGGTAAATTTCCAAACGGCTCTTGTTTTTTACAACACAATTTCCTTCTCGTCAGCGAGTTTTTCGTGGAAAGAAAACGAAAAATGTTTAATCATTTTTTTCAAAAATTTTAATAGATTTAAGAAGGGTTGCTACCACTTTTACCAAATTTGGACTTCGTATTGTTAACTGATAAGGACGGCAGATCTCCAAGTGTTTTGGCACTCGCTCGCTCCGCTAACTTAAAATATCCTAGGTTTGTAGTCTACAGTCTAGAAGGAGGTTACAGGCTTAAATTTAAGTTTAAGTTTTTTTGAAAAGTTAAAGAGACTTGATAATATACACGTAGTACCAAATACCGGAGCCATTTGGGAATTTACCTACTCGTGAAACTTTTTTCGACGGGAGCCGTTTGGGAAAAAACAAACAATAGATGGGAGCCGTTTGGGTTGCACCGATTATAATAATCGAGATCACCAAGATGTTATTGAATATCAAATACAAGTAATTTTATGGTACTTGTTAAACAAAATAAAAATGCATTTTACCTGATTTTGTGCGTTTTGTTCGGCCATGGCTTTTTCTTTCGCTTGACGCTTGCATTTGTACCGATGATTTTGAAACCAAATTTTAACCTGATAACAAAACATATATCACTTACAGTTAGTCATGTACTTATTATGTGATTTATCAGTATTAATTGCACAACTTCAACTCTCCGTCTGAAGGTAGCATAGATATAATTGGTTGGGTTAGGTTAAGTTTATAAGTTATTGCATATAACAACCGAGCCAAAATGCAATTTCTAACGTCATAGACGGCAGACGCATTAACGCAACGCTATGTGTAAAACCGTTAAATTAGGTAACAAAACATCAGTATACTATTATACTGGCGGAACGCCGACGTTTATGTTATGAACGAAAGGAAAATTAATAATGAATACGGATGAAGAGTATTTGTGGCTGTTGAAAATAAAAGATGACCAATATTAATATTGACAGTGAATGGGAACGAAGTGGAAATAAAGTTGAAGTGGTGTTTTTAAAAGTGCTCGCGAACCGAGTGCACTCTACGCGGCTTTTGGTTAACGGTTTAAAGACAAACTCTTTTGACCGAAAGAACGATCCAGCTCTGCCGCGCGCACTTGAAGCCGCCACGAGTATCTGCGAATAATTCCTACATAAATTCACTTCACTTTTCAAAAGTACTCAGCTCCTACTTGTCCACGTAAACGATACACAACGCAAACGGCACATACATTTTATACCTTGTGCAATTTCCATAGTAAAAGCCGCTTTTAAATACCTAATTTAACACAACTACTTACACCTACCGACAAACTCTGTACATGTCTAATTAAAAGGTAATTTTTCACTTTCGTTATGTTTACGATCAAAATATTATGTACTGCTGTACGCACCTCACAGCAAAGTATTAGGTATACCTATACATACCAGCACCATTATGTTCGTATACGTTCGGCAAATCATAAAATATTCAACAAAATGGTCGAAAATAGACATAAACAATTCTCTTCACTAAGCGTTTTCCAATTTGCATAATATGCGATTCCGACAATATATTGGTATTGACTATTGAATACATATATTGCGTACAATACATACTTATCGTCGCGATATCCTTGAAAACGCAAGTAGTATAGCTTTGACTGTTCTTTTTAGTTTAACAGTATACCATAATGTGCGTACGGTAAATTGAAAAATTGAATAATTCATTTTTATAAAACTTTTTTTTTTTTTTTGTTTTTTTATTTAGAATTTGTACAATCTGTAATAAATGTAATTACAATAAGAACAAAGGATAAATTACATGGTAGGCAAATATATAATAATACATTGATACAGTAGACTTGTTAGAAGAGGCCAGCCAGAGCTGGTACTTCATGACGTGTGAGATCGTGGATTAGTCAATCAATAGATCGCGACACCACGTTCGCTTTAGGCGCCTTCTGGGGTCACCAGGGATTGTGTGCACGGATAGTTCCGAGATCAGGGGGTTTTTATGGCTAAAGGTTTTGGAGTGTAGGCGTTTGTAGAAGGTTTTGGCAGAGTTAAGGACTGTTGGGATGGAGAGATCTTTGTGGAGGGTATCATTGGAGACGTAAAATGGGGCTTTTGTTAATAGACGGAGACATTTATTTTGAAATGTTTGTATTTTATAGATATTGGATGGTTTGGCAGCTCCCCATAGCTGGATGCCATAGGTCCAAATGGGTTTGAGGAGTAGTTTGTAAATTAAAAGTTTGTTTTGGAGGTTGAGGTGTTTTGTTGTTAGAAGGAAGCGTAATTGACGGAGGCGGTTGTTTAAGACGAGACGCTTAGCGTGGATATGAGTTGCCCAAGTAAGACGCCGGTCTAGGTGTAAACCCAGGTATCGAACATTTTGAGCGGTTGGAAGGGGTATGTTATTGAGATAAATATGAGGGCAGTCTGTTTGTTTTAAAGTGAATGTGCAGTGGACGGATTTAGTCTCGTTGATTTTTATCCCCCAATCTTTATACCATGTTGATAATAGATTTAGGTGATTTTGGATGAAGTTTGACGCCGTTACAGGATCGGCGTGGAGGGCTAGAAGAGCTTTATCATCGGCAAAGTCACCGGTAGTGGTGTAAGGTGTTGTGGGCTGATCTGAGGTAAAAAGATTAAATAATAAAGGGGCTGCGACAGCACCTTGAGGCACACCAGCACGAATTGAAGATAATTTTTATAAAACTGTTTCAAAAAAACAACCTAATAATAGTCATATAACACGGCTAAAATTAGTAGAATTTAGTATTTACAATTAGTTAGCAAATATGTACTACAGACTAGAGCTAAACATTAGGTATAAGTTGTCAAGTACGCTCCTATCAAACTATAGCTTACTTTTTATTAAGATCGAATTCCAATCTTACTAAAGCTGTTTGGTGTTCATTAAGCTGCCGCATTTATGAATAGGAATAAATATTTATGTTAGATGTTTTCGATTATGGGTCCGGGGATAGAATAGATCTAGAGCAATATTAGCTTGACTTAAAAGGCGACTAAAGGGACTGGAGAAGGTCAGCAGCTTCTCTGGTATTGGATGTAGATGGAGATCAAGCCTAGGAAATCGGTACAAGTACATGCCAAACATTTGTAAGTGAAAGGTAAGACCAACGATGGAGTACATGAAACAAATCATGATATAGACATGAATAAGGTTAGCTACAAGGAATTAAGTTACAAAAGTAATAAGCATGGAAAACTGCAGCAAACAGTTCATAGTTCAAACGATTGAAGACTCGAAAAAGTTATCAAGTGAGCCGAACCAATTGGATACACTCGGATATTACAAATAATCATGATACAACACTGACTAATCAATATAAAGTATAATGTTATTGCGCAAAACGCAACATCGGCTGAAACCGTGGAATTTGCCGGCGAATGTAAACACTGAACACAAACGTTGCTTATAGTTCACCCGCGGGGAACACTCAACCGACATTTTGGGGACGACGGGCCCGCGTAATCGGGTAGCGCTGGGGTCCCCACGCGGCCTCGCACAATAAAAAACAGTAGACGTGCGATTACGCGCGCGGGGACTCTTGCCGCAACATCTGGCGCCCCGGGTACTAGGCACAATCTGTCGGCCATTGTTCCGTCGCCGCGCACCGGGACTGATCATCTCGAGTGGCACTCACTTCAGACATTTTTCGGAGGGCTCACAATGAACGCTTTTGTGTCCGACACCACCGGCAACACAGTATATACCAGCGCGGACAAGCGTTTTCCACCGTTCCGCAAACTAAATATACTGGCGGCGGCGGTGGTAGTATACGATTATAATAAATATAATATGAACCGACCAAGAGCTGAGTCCACGGCAGTCCTAGAGAATGGAGGGAGGGTTCTGTCGAGGGTACGGCAAGAGGAGATACGCGGAAAATCGGTATAACTAGACGCGCGGTGAGTTTCATTGTTTGCCTCAGCGATGTATAGCGCGCGGGAGGGATGTACGCATAATAATAATACGACGACGGGACGGGACAACGCACGCGTAACCCCGGAAAATGTTTATCCCTCATTAACCGCACGGTAAACGTTTAAGCCGGATCAACGGGTTGAACAAGCGCGGCACGGCCTTAAGCCGCGATGATCTTTCTGGCGATACCGACTGTATAACAAAATCATCAGACGGTTATTTTATAGCTATTCATGTTTACACTTCTCAATTTCTCTTTACACACGACGAAACTTGACGGCAAATGTTAGGCGTGTACATTCAACGAAATCGGCTTGCTAACTTTTATCGTCGAAGTTTTTTTGTTAATTAAATTAATTACATGTTGGGTTTTTTCGTTTATTCGACAAAAGTAAAAATTAAATTAACAAACCCGTCGATAATTAACATTTACAAAAAGTTGATTACAATTAACAATTGTTTTTAAAATTTTACGAAATATCGGCAAAAACAACAAATATTTTGTTGGCTGTTAACAAAAAAACCTACCGTCGACTTAACATAGAAATTTGTTTATTTTTTCCTTACTACATCGGAATTGAGTTCGCATTAGAAAAGTTCCTACACATTTTATACAACCGGAGAAAATGTAAAATTTTAAACTCTTAAGTTTCCCACAATTTATATCAATATAGTAGTAACTCAAAAGTCAAACGAGTTGAATTATTAGTTTAAACATTAACTATATAACTACTGCGACTACATAAGGTTATTGTTATAGCTAAATATGGTGCTACCGTTTGTAAAACAAAATAAATGTAGTGTACAGAGTTGGACAAAACATAAATAGATTATGATTGATTAGTAATTTGACGAGTAATAGATAATTTTTTATTAGTGATTACCTTTATTAGTAGTAATGAGTATCATATAGTTAACCTGTTTAATTTTTATTTATAGATAAAATATTATCCGACTTAATATCAGATTTGTATAGAATATATTTCATAAATAAATAATAAGTAATGTTTTCGTTTATAAACCGAACATAAAATGAAATAACTTTTTATTTCTATTATTCTTCAATTAAAAAAATTTATATCTTTTCCATTTGTAAATAAAACAAGTGAAGACTGAGTAAAGAATCTTCCCCCTATATGAACTACTACTTCTTCAAAATAATTCTTAATATATAATTATGTAATACCGTTATTTTTTTTAATTTAATAATCATTTCATTACTCAATATACTTTTTTTTATTTCTACATAAAATGCAAGTATAAATATACAGCCTACATGTAAGATAGGTCTAGATTACCTAATATTAAGACCATATTTACTGGATAATTTTTAAAACTCTAATTAGGTACTAGTGAACTACTTTAAAATAAACCAATAGAGAATAATAATAATATATATAATGTTTACATACTTGTGTAGGAGTTAAATGGATCAAACTGGCTAAGTGTTCGCGTTCTGGCGCTGACAAATATTTTTGTTGTTTAAACCTTCGTTCCAATTCATAAACCTATAAAAAATATATAAATATATATATTATACCACATAAATGAAATGATATATGTCATAAAATGTTTTTCTCTAGGGAAATTGTATGCACTAGACACTGTATATATAATATAAGAACAGACGCATCAGAGGGGATGAGTATATTTAGACAATTCGTACAAATGGGATGGATGTGTTCGTGTCAAAACGGTGCCATGGTGGATTTGACGTGACGCCCGTTTGTGTTTACTGTTTACATTTGTACGAGAAATGTGGATTTTGAGACAGTTTAAGTGCGTCGTAAACACCTATGAACTTGCATAGTAAATACGGTTTTGGGTTTCCAGTATTGCTTGCACTTAAAACAAACACATTGTTTAGTAAAACGTTTCCGAAGAAACTCTATACTATTATATGTTCTATACAGTGTACTCATAATATAATATGTAAACCCTAATCACCTATCGCCGCCCAAATAAAAATGTTATTGTCAATTCATGCTTTTAATAATCATAATATAAAAGCAATAGAGTTATGACCAATTAAAAAACATAATATTTTTTAAGTAAGACCTTTTGTATATTTATTTTTGTTTTATACACTGAAACTTAAGTTGTACGTACTTGAGCTTGGGTGAAAAGCACTCTTCTTTTTCGCCTCTGAGTGAGAGGAAACTGGAGAGGAGGTTTTGTATCGCATCCCATATTTGTCATGCCGTTCATCGAGGTGTTTGATGAGCCCATCAATCGCGTAACTGCAAAAACACACGTATATAGGTTAGCTTGGAATATTTTTTTTTAACGGTAATAAAAAGTCAATAACTTTCAGTCGGAAAACTCGATTCATTGGAATTCATTATGCCTATGGTTGGCTGTTTATAAGGGTCTTGGATGTCCTCCCTCGCTTCGCCCCCTTTCGCCACCTTGTAAGACGCTCGTTTATTGACTCATGAATATTTCATAGCAAATGTGTGTTTTACCCTTTAGTCCTCCCGCATGACTTAATAATTTATAATATTCAACTTGGATAGAATCACCTAATTGACAGGAATCATTCACTCGTGTCTATTATAATGCAAAATAATATACAGTAGGTATCATTCAAACAATTTAGGTGTCAAGTACTAATTCTAATTTTCCATTACCACGCACAATGTATAACTTTAACGTAAGATGTGTCTTTTAGTCCTGAAGGATACATTGTATATTATCAATTTCCACCTATATTCTAGGTAAATGTTGTAATTTTTAATTTTTATTGAATCGTCCATTTATTAGATTATTAGTCTTATTATTAATTTATTAATTTTTGTCTTAAAGAATCTATGTTTACCTGTGTTACTATTATTACCATCAATGTTAAAAGAAAAATTGTGTTATGTACTATTGTATTGATCTAGTATGCTGTGTCTTATATGGCAACCTATGTTTTAGGCAGCCCGCTTGATTTTTTTAAATAAAGTTGCTTCTCTCTCTATAAAGTCGTTGTATTAAAATTTGTTTTTATCTTCAGTACCTTGTAATTTTAATACAAAACTAAATGATTCATATAGTTTGTAGTTAATTCAGAGGTTACTTTCCGGTTTACACGGGATATATCTTACTTTGAGAAATAAATAGACAAAGTTATTCCAAATTGTTTTTTTTTTTACTCTTTAATGAGAGCATCCTTAAAATAATGACGAACGAATTCTCCTAATAAGCGTTTAAACTTTTTTTTTACCTTTTTTTTAAAGATTCTCGCAAGGTCTGAAATTAAACTGAAGGTAGTAAAAAAATGTTAATATAATGTGTTGCTACTAAATGATAGTAAAATATTATTTTTTAATTTTGATTATTATTATTATCATGATTTATATGTAAAAAAAGGTATATCTAAATTCTAATATTTAATTATCATAATATCATAATATTTTATTTCACTTTTAAACAAAAATAAATCGTGCGTATTCGTGTTCTCATCTCGGTAATATAAATCTTTAATTTATTAATCGGAAAAATTAAAAACCATAATGTGTAATAACTAATATGTAGTGGACAGAGTAATATAGTGACGGACAGTGTAGTACGGAAGAATATGTGTTTATAAGGTACTGCGAAGACTAGAATTAAGCAAACGAAGAAAATAAGGACAAATTTACACAAAAAAATGTATTTCTCCTGCTGGTTAATGGTTTTAGTTATAAAATACAAGTCCAAAACACGAATTGCTATAGTCGGCCGCACGTCTTCAATTGAAGTATTTATTAAATTGTGTAAGCCGCACCATTAGACATATTCTATACAATATGTACGCAGTATATACACAAAGTAGGTACGCGGGGGCAAAGCATATATTATAATAATAATATTATACGCGGTAGATTCCAATTATTATTTCCACGACAGGACGTTAGACGCAGTATATAATATATACATACTAAATATATAGATATTAATGTACCCCTCCGACATTATATTGTTCATGCCGGTCACAAAGCAAACACACACACTATATATGTATTATTATTATTATACACATACCCGCGCCTGCCTGTCTGCCGGCTTGTCAACTACAAATGGAGCGTGCAATATGAGTTCTCAGCCGCCGAGCTTTTTTTCGAACGTGTATTATCCGGAGACGATTTTTGACAGGTTTTCCACCAAAATAGAAAGGGGATCAATAAACACACCACGGTTGTACGACGTTTACATTGGACGGCACGTGTTGGTGGTGGTGAAAATAAAAACGCATATACGGCGTGCGTGTGCGTAAGTATATTATATGTACATAATGTATGTATATGTATATATATATATATATGAGTTTACGATGCCGCACACGCTTAATATTATATCCTTCGCGACAACGACGGCCGAGTGTATTATGTAGGATATGGAAAATAAGTTCATCGAACGTGTGCGCATTTGTATATGGTAATCGGTAATAATCGGTATAAATAAGCGTACCAATTGTACAAAGCGTGTGGTAAACATTAAGTATAATATTGTAGTAGGTATATATATATATATATATATATATAACAAATATCAAAGACAACGGAAAAAAGTTCAATTGTTGGGAAATCTCAAGCGTATAGAAACTAATTGTAAAATACAAACGGATAGAAAAAGTTTGCATTGACAAGTACTGTACTCTTTTGGTCTTATCGCTTTTCAAAGCGTTGATTGTTTATCGAAGCACATTTTTAATTGTATTATTTAGAAATAATTTGACCTTTGAGATTTTGCAGTAGTGTTACTAACCTACTGTTTACACGATATTCAAAAATTAAAGTGAAAAAAATGTCTCCTGGGCAAGTTATGCACACATCATTGTACCGTACTATTTGTACACACATAAGGTACATAAGTGTTAACGGTTGTTGTTTTGTTTTTAAATGGTGTTATTTTGGATTTATTTCACGCCGTGTAATTTCTTTTCTCAGACAATTTTCAAAAATATCGCATACACACACTCAGAAGAAAACCCACACGAAACAACTACATATATTACTATCCCACGATTTGTTTATATAGTAAATTGTTAGAATAAAAAAACATGGTCGAGTTTAACAGACCTTGACGAACACAATTCGTTTTAATGGCCGCCCCTTCGTACATTGCCCACATCAATAATTCCGCATTTCCTTTACTCGGCGCACATATAGTGTTCCGCTTGTATTGTACATATACGTCACAATAAGGGACACGTCAACAACTCTGCACGTTTTTTTTTATGACAACGGAATACCATTTAATCGTCAAAACCACATTAAGAAGGCGTAAGACGAAAGGATATCCGACTGGACCCGGGATATTGCATTTTACTCGGGATTGACTCATAAAACCTATACCTAATATCGAGTGGGCGTTTGCCACCGGATTCGGCATGTGTGAATGGACGGATTTAATATTATGTTATAATATTGTTATTGTTGCACGAAACTGCCCGTTGAAAGGATCTTTTTCTCTCTCTACTGCACACACGTTATTATAACAATATATATGGAAGCTACCTGTGATGCTGACATTCTACTGCATCACCTCGCGGGCTTCGTGGGTGTCCGCTGGCCCTAAAGAGAGTGACGAGAGCTGTAGAAAAAAAACCCGGTAGAAAAAATAATATTTTGATAGCTTGATTGCTGTAAGCGGTCGAACCGAGAGAGAGAGAGAAAGAAAGAGTGAGATAGGGTTATTTGGTCCCCGTCAACGATTGACCAATAACAAACGCATTGTCAAACACACGACGATGATTTTTACCTGTTTGTCCAAAATCAAAACTACGTCAATGTTTTTTTTAAGTTTCCCGGGCCACGACGAAAATTTAAAAACCGTATAATGAGTTGTCCGGCTGTATTTTTTTACGAATGGAATTCGTCTCGGTCGCCGTGTTTGTGTTTGGCAAACATCGGTAGCCAGCCACGTCGTTGGCCCGAGGCCTTGGAAATATTTCTTGAGCAAACACACACCAGAACCGAACGCACAGTACAGGGTGACAAATATTATTCTAACGCCGAGCCGAATATAATCGACATGTACAATGGTCCGGAACACTATACTCGGCAATGAGTTTGTACATAATATATTAATATAATAATGGACATTGGTACATACGGTTAGGGAAAAAAATGTGCTTGGTAACGCATACACAGCACACACGAAGATACACACCGGTACCAGGTATGTATGTTGTTATATTCGATCAAATGTCTTATAATTCATTCGATATGGAGGTCGTCATATATTATAATATAGTAGTGTTATTTAAACCGTGCTTCGGTGTAGCCTTGTTAGAAGACGCTCTCACGTCTACAAAACACACAACATGTTTTTAATCACGATTCGATTATTCAAACAACCGTATTTATTATTATATATCCCGACTCTTACACTGTAGGCCTACGCCTGCTTATTATGATTAGAACAAAAGTAAAAAATGATAGAATGCATACAACAACATACAAAGCTATTAACTTTTGCACCAAATTGGAACCACTGTCAGAATATCCGCCCACTCCAATCAGTTCAAGCTCAACATTAGGGTTATTACTTATTACATCTAACTATTTCCACACAAGTTTAAAAAAGGACTCAGAACAAACTAGCTAACCATCGAAGGCCACAAATCCTAGCACGTCCAACGTTGAAGTATTTACTAATAATTCTACAAGCAAAATTGAACATTGGTATACATAAATGAATTGACAAAATAAAACCAGATGAACTTACAAGATAAATAGTCAAATATACTAATGTCAAAGAATAAAGCGTAGCTCATGAATGTTATATAAACAAATATATTTGTATCATACTTTACTCATTAAATGTATTATGTTGTTTGTAACTATAATTTTGTCAATGATTTACCCATTTCTTCTGCAAAAAATGTCTTTTATTAGACGACCACCAACTGACTTCGGCACTATATCAACCTCTGCGACTTCTTCTAATATCCAAACATGTTAGTCTTACCAATAAAGTTCTCGCACACAAACTTCTTTTTAAGCCAATTCGGTCATACCGCATACGGCATCCAACTCTGGGGCTCTGTAAAGCTCTCAAACTTTAACAAAACGTGACAATCAAAATGCCTCCGTCAAGTAACCGTTGACTCAATTTTATGTTTTTAATAATACCTCTACAACGACCTCTTTATTTCAACAGTACAAAACATTCCAAAAACTCTCTACAAACAATTCAACTTCAACCTAACCTAACCTATCCAACCACCGTAACCTTCTAATTTCTGACTTATCCATTCTTAATATTTCAGGTGACACCAGAAAACGAAAATTATTTACAGATTGTGTAATTTAAATATAATAAACAAAAAATAAACTTCTCTTTTATTATGACTTTTATACCAATATTCTCGAACGGCTAACCAATTAATCACCTTCAAAAAAATAATTACAAAGAAGTGTAATAGTATAGAACATTTAAAATAGTGGTTTCTGTATACAATAATAATATAGATCAATCTATTTAAGTTAAGAAAATAATATACTGGTTGGATTTCTAAAAGAGTTATCTAATATGTTTCTTACTCAATCTGAAAATAATGTCTTTAATATGATATCAATTTACAAATAACTTTTTCAATAGGATTGTTTTGGCTATTGTACCTACAGAAGTTTTATCATAGTACCTATCCCTCAAAAAACGCGATTTCTGCAATAATTTTACATATAACAAACTAAAACATTGTAATAAAATAAATATGTAAGAGGCATAGGCATGAAAGCTTATATATTATGTATACTGAGAAAGCAGCTAATAAAATTGTTGAAAAAGTATAAACAATAAAACGTATTAGTTAAATTAAAATGTGTTTTTCAATCCATTTTAACGTGTATAGCAAACTGAGAATCACCATATTGGTACGTTTCATAGTTCATATCTACTTTGGTCTCACTCAAAGGTATAACATTATCATATAGCCCCAAAAATAAAATTATTTATTTATTTTATATTTTCTGTCTGAGTATAATTGTATTAAATATACAAATTAATTATATATTATTAACTAATTCTAGTTGTAATTAAAATGTATATAAGTATCCTTTAGCTGTTAATTCCTTTGAATTTGGCAAACTACATACAATTTTCCAATTATCAAACATAAATAGAGCCTAAACGTGTTACAGAACTTTACATAGGTACATGGCGTACGTGCATTGTTGAGTACCTACGAAGAGTGATCGCTTTTATATGATAAAAAAAGGGCTAATGGCATTATAACGACTGTTGTAATAACCGGTTACATGGTGTATTTTCACGTCCCGGGGCAAATGTTTTGCGGAAAAAGGGGTTCTTGTATATAAGCTGCCTTGTCTCTAATCCAATATGACACCCTGAATTCACAACCCCTCTGGGTATTTTACGGTCGTTTGAACTTGCTTATGTGAAAAAAACATAAACATGATCCGCTTCTTTATCGGTGTTATCGCACTGATGGGTTTATATTAAATAAGTTAAGATATTGTTATGAACATTTTGTGTTTCATAAAACTTCCGTTAAAGACAAATGGAAATTCCAATATGGTGAAAATTAATCATTTATTTTACGATTGGTGAGAAATTGTTGGATTTATAATGTTAAATATTCCTTCCTTTTTTTTCTGTACGTGTGCATTTTACATCACTAGACAAAATGCACTATAGATACACTTATTCCGTTGATCAGAAAGAAAAAAGTTTAAAAGTTAAACAAATCCTTGAAAATCGAAAAAGTTTGTTAAATTTTAAGTTTCAATTTTGAATTGTTGTATCAGTTTAGTTTTTTTAGTTAAAAGACGGATTTTATTTAGAGAAAAACCACAAATATCATTTACTATAAGGCTACGGCATATACAATACCTATTAAACATATCCTATTAAATGCGATAACCATGTATTTCATTAGGAATTATTTTTCATTGTATTTGATAAATTTTACTAAAAGTACACATTAACAAAAACATACAAAACTTTAATTAGAAATATATTGTTAGTAAATGCATTTAAAAATAAATATTTGTAAGGAGAACCATTGAAATTCGTTTCACTAAATTATTACAGTTGAGAATAAATAATAGATCACATTATTAATTACATTTAATGTTTAAACTTTTTTTGATTGATTCTATCACTTTTTTGTATCATTCGATTTTAACGGAATAATAGCTACTAGTTTAAGTGTTCTTTGACTAATATATAAACTGAAAAAAATGTAGGATTCTTTCGCAAATTGATTGATAATAATTTATAGACTAGCCTTCTTATTTTTCTCTAATACTTTTTCCTTCTTTTCGTTTACAATTTATTTACATTTTTTCTATTCTTTCCATAATAATAATATAATCTCTAACATATTGCTCGTGAAGTTAATACATTCCTATCACTTTTGCCAATATCTTTTCTTTAATTCTAATAGTTTTTTTTTTTTATTTTAATTTTTACTTTAAATATTTATTATGCAACGTGGACACTGGTACTCTAATGGAATAAATAAATATTTTGATTACCAATTTTTGTACTTCAGAATAACCTATGCAAATGCAGTATAAATATTTTAAGCATGTAATACTCTAATATAAGTGTATAACGTTAGTGTCTCGCTCGTCGTTTAATGTATTTGGAATATTATAAATATTAAAAACAGGTCATTCACTGACACCGGCTTGATAATATTATAGTTGCCTATTTACAGGACTTGTAAATCATAACTTTTTTGACTTACTGGCAAATCTCGGGTCGTTAGTCGGCGCCCCGTACCACGTGGTGGAGTTTCCATAACCGGTAACCATGTCCGGTTGACAATATTGAGGAGGTGGCGGCGGCGGTGCCGGGAATTGTGGGTGTACGTGCCAGCTGGCCGCGGCCGGAGCCGTGTTGGGTCCGTTGCCGTTCTGGCCGCCGCCTACGGACATCGCGCCGGGACTGCCGGATGCGCTACCTCCTGTGCTGCCGGCCGTGCTGGACCGGTGATACGGTGACGGAGAACCGCACAGCTCCAGTTTGCGGTACTCCTCGATGGGGCTGAGTATGTCGGTGACGGAGAACGGTGTTGTGTGGGCCGTGTGATGGCTGTGGTGATGATGGTGGTGCGGTTTGGGGCTCAAGGACATCGCAAGGTCCGCACTGTTAAGCTCCGGCAGCAGGTCGCCAGAGCTCTCCGAGAACACGGCTGATGCCGCCGACGAAGCGGCCGTCACCGAGAGAGCCACTTTCGCGACTTAACCGACAAAGTATCACCCGGAATACTATGTAAATCACGCTGGACACCGGTCGGACGAACCCGAAATCGGTACACTCACGTCGTAAACATCGTTGCGTTACGTGTATTACCGCGTGTGTACGGAGAAAAAAAAAAGAAAAAAACAATAATAGCGTAAAATAAATAAACTCTGGGGTCTCTCGTGAGTAGAGCACCACCCGAAACTAGTGTCACTCGAAACTGGACTACTCGACGTCGACGAGAGGACTCGAGGGCCGCACTCGAGTGGCGGAGCCCCTCGGCACCGCAGCCCGCCCAGGCCGTGGGACGGATCGGCGCGAGGGCGTGGTCCCGGGCAACCAATAGCCTGCAGTACCTGGGCCGACAATGCGAAAGGTTGCGAAAGAAAATTGTACACTGCGTACATAAGGGTAAAACTATACACATCAATCACCGGCGGGAGGGGAGGCACGATGCAGATAAAAACAGTTACCGGTGGGTACTATTATAAAATAGCGATATTTCCGGTCGCGTTTACACACACACACAGTAGTAACAGTCCTATGTATAAATGGCATCGGTTTTGATATGGCACTCTGTCGATGGGAAATGTAGGGTTTTAATAGCAAGAAGAGGTGGAGGAGATGGAGGAGCAGGAGAGTACCTCTAGTGTACTAGAAGCATCATCGTCTCGAAGTAGCGTAATCAATTACACGTAAAACGAGTACTGGCGAGAGGCACTTGTCGCCACGAAAGACAACATCATTTGACTTGGGCCGAGTGTAGGTATACATATCACCACAGTTGTTACCGCTATTGTTTACAAAATATCCTACACTTGACTATAAATAGTTTTAAATTTGTAAAATAAAGTCTTCAGAAGAGTTTTGGATAACTAAGTAGTAATAGTAAAGATCCCTTATGATAACCAATATGACAAATCATTCACCTATTATGTTTACGGATAAACAACAATGTGAAAACTGAAAACCAAAAATACACAACTCGGCGCATAGATCGAAAGACTGGTTCGACATTTTTAAATACAAATTACAATAGAATCTTATCTGACCTATCCCGGTTCCATTATTTATCCTCTTTGGTCGAACGGAAACTCGGAAAATAGTTCTTTTGTGCCTTATTTCTGTAGTTTCTCGTTGCAAGCCTTTCAACAAAGTCACTTCGTGATTTTCCTAGGGGTTCTTTTTCTATCTATTAAATTTTAATCTATATAATCTCAAACGATTCGGTAGTTCTTTTGGTTAGATCAGGTGAAATCCAGAAATAGAATGCAAGGTAAACTGTGTGTAAATCAACGATAAATGTTGTGGGTCGTATTTATGTAACAAAAACTTAAGTTTCGCCTAAGTGCACCTAAACGGTAATATAAACAGTAAAATATCGAAAATATATGAGGTTAGGTTAGGTTAGGTTTATTTACAACTCTTAATTGCATTCCCTCATCCTAATCCCAGATCATGTAATAATATAAATATTGGTTTACAGATCCCAATTATACACTTATCTATAATTCCAAAACCGAGATGCAATAATTTGAGAAAAACTAATTACGATGAATTCATTTTTTAGGTATAAATTGATTACCTAATAATTCACTTTGTTTATTTAGTGTTATAACTTAAATATGTTAATAAGTATCATTTTATTTTTTTAATTCTAATGTTATTTTTAACTTTTCCCTTTGCTCAGTTTTAATTAGGGAATGTGTTATTAATTACATTTAATCTTTCAATAAAAATGTCTAAGATTCCTAACAAATAAATAAATATAGGGTTTCAAATTTAGAGCTCCCTATTTCACGTGAATCACGGCTCACGGATTCACGTGAAATTAATCACGAGTTTATAAGACCCGTGATTGGAAATTGTCCGTGAATTTATAATTTTATTCACGTGAATAATATTAATATACGTGATCACGTGAATTTCGTACAACGAATTCACGTGAATTAAACATACGGATTTTATATTACATTTATTCACGTGATCACGGAACCGTGATCACGTATGTATTACTACACGTACGAAACCGAGACCCCTAGTTTCAATCAATTCATCCAGATTAAAAATTAAAAAAATATACTTTTATTATTATTAGGTACTCTAAAATGAATCATAATGAATAATGATAAAATACATTACCTAATTTTATTGTCCGCTATGAATTATTGAAAAATTTAATTTATCTATACTTTCTTGTTATTTGTAGACACATGTATGCACTGTCGAATTAGTGTTGGATGGAAAGCATTTAGAGTAGATGTAAAACTATGATACATGAAAATTCCATACGTTTCTCTTATTCAAACGTGTAAAAATAATTAATTATATAAGTTAACTTGTTTTATCCTTTTTTGTCTGATCTGCTCATAATTAACTCAATTTTAAAATATGAAATAAAACTGTCTAAGTATAAAGTTGAAAATTTAATCGATAATATAAAAATCGACACGAAATTGAATTTGGTATTTTATATTTATGACTTTAATAATTAAGTATTAATTATACTGTTAATTTTAGAGTAATAAACAACATAATATGAATATAAAAATAGTTTGTTTTTTAATTTTCTATTCGCAATAAATAGTTAATCGTTACCCAAGTACCATCTTATATAGGCTAATTTAGCCTGGTTTAACATTAAAAGATTAACTGCTACCTCTTTAAAACTGAAAAAAAAACCACTTTAAAAATTGACACATTATATTTTAACGTTATGCTATAAACTATTTGCAAAATAGTTAGTAGTTCCACATTTATACATGGAGTGTTTTCAAAAGGTAAATATTATGTTCTTGGTTTTTTCTAGATATTCTAGTTGACTAATTGAATACCTATGACCTGTGATCATATAGCAGTAAACAGAGTAGTTAGGACTGAGTAGGGTGTAAATACCTACTTAGTACTTACACATATAACTCGGATTGGGGTACTATTGTAAAATTCAATTTTCAGTTCATTGTCGGGTGGCATCATGGGTTTTTCAGACGCGACTTTTAACCGTTTTTTTTTTCAACGAAATTTTCAAGTACTTTTTGACCGTTTATAATAAGATATGTAATGCACGAGAAAGAACAAGGAAAAGCCTATTGTTTTGAACGTCGGGCGTGTATGGTTTTCTAAAAAAAAACTCGGTGGCCCCACGTACGAAATAACATGAATGTGGAACGTTGATTTTAAGAGCACTCCAGAAATACCCCCCTCGAATACCACATATATATATGTATATATATATGGTATTCGTGTATATCCTCCGGTGGTCATGTAATTATTATTGTAAGGACTACTGCCGAACGATAATATTATAGAAAAGTACCTGGTGCAATATCGCTAATCGACGTGCCGAGTGCATTGTAGTGACACATAGAAATGACTTTCGAGTGGCTGTTATATTTTTACTATTTTTAACGAGGGGACGATTTCTCAATGCATTTATTCAACCATAGAGACGGAGTTAAAAACAGTACAACCTATGTACCTATGAAATAAAATAGAGAAAACCGTATTAATTCAATAACGTATTCTACATATTATTTTATAACGTGAAAGCGTTATGTTCAATATATAGATATTGTAGGTACGTCAAAAAATGACAGTTGTTAACAAAAGATATGTTAAGTATAAATAATTAGTTCATTATTTATTTTAGCTAAAAAAATATATTTTATTATATGATAAATGATAATTATTGCTAGATTTTAGCCTTTAGAGTTCTCTACCTATTTTATTAATGTTTATGAATAATGAATTGCTGATAAAGGATTAAAATATATTATTAACAGGGTTCATTTTTGTGCTTTCGACGCATGACAAATCAGTTCAACGGCAACGTTATAGCCTGAGGGCCATGTACATTAGTATATTATTACATAAGGTAATAGTAGTATTATTAAATGATTTCCCCACGCTCTGTATTTTCAGTTCACGCTTAAATCACTATGTATAATGTCTACCTATCAATCGATAGTCAACGCTTTGGCCTTTGACCATTACAAGTAAATTCGTTACATCTTTTTTTTTTTTTTTACTCGTAATCCGACCGTTTATTTCCATGACTATAGTAGCTATATATGTATTGTAGTATACGGACGACTAAAGCCTCGTAAACCGTTTTATTAGCCACTTCACCTGTTCCGCCGTCGTTATAATATATTACATTGAAATTGTTTCGATTCCGTATATAGGATTATTATCACTCCCAAGTAGTATTGTTCCACATTGCAGTCAAAAAATAATCACGAGACACGCGACCCAAGGAGGCGGTGCACGCCCCAGCTCGCGCATCGTATTTCACTCGGTATATCTGGTTACAACTGCATACTGAAATTAATATACCTGTGTTCGTCCCCCGTATACTGCAGATCACATGTTAGAGCTCAGCATATTTTACTAATATCGCGTGCGTGGCCAGGATTTTCTACTTCAATGACGATCAATACAAACCCAATAATACGAACCCATATTGGCAAACTTAAAACTAAGACAATAATATGTTGCATGCGTTACACTATGATTACAGTAAAAGCCAATTAAGACCTTTAACTTGAATACGTCATAGGTAATATTATCTCGCCATAATATTGTTAATAAATAAACACGGTTTTTTTGATAATTTTGGAAAGAGTATAATATCTGCGTTGTATTCCGACTTGTACTATACAACAAAAAATAAAAATATAGTAGCGTTTTCAAAAATGTTCATATTTTTAAATCATGTTTTAAAAATATTATTTACAAAATGTTGTTCAAGTGTTATAAAAATACCTACTTCCAATACTTTTATATTCATATTTTAAATGATATGAACTATGATAATATTTTCTTTGTTTTAACAACATTTTGCTAAACATTACTTTTTAACATTTAATCTCCTTCCAAAACGTGGTTTTATTAAATAATAACATTAAACAAAAATTATTATTATAAAATAAGTTAAAGAAATAGGGGAATACGAAGTTTGCTGACTGTCAGTCTCAAATCTTAATCAAATACAATTTTATTTTATTATTAGCTTATAATTAAAGCATTATGAATTTGGATTTGTGTTTTATTTATTTAATTGAATTATAAATGAGAAAAAGACTAGCTTACCTACATATTTCAGACCAGACAGAGTTACTCTTATTATGAATATACTTTTTGAAGTAGTCTGTAATCATTATGTTATGATTCACTCGTACGGCGAGACTTGTTTTGGAGTTCATGCCGATTTTATTAATATATATCCAC